GGAAGGGCTGCAAGGTCAGCCAACATTTTGGCCCTAGCCTTTCAAGGTCAGTGAAGACTCGGGACATAGGAGAACCTGTACTGTAACAACATGTAACTCAGTTGCGCTCCAAAATTTCTGATCAAGAAGATTATAGAGCCACAGAGGAATGTGATCGATGATGTATAGTGTGCCTGGAGAGAGTCACATGAAGAGAAAAAAAATTTTCTCAAGCTTTCAAGAAGAGCAAATTGGTTAAGCAACGGCTGTGACTTATCCTCATGGCTGACACTGACAAAAGGATCTACAAAGTGCGGTGCAGGGCTACAGGATAAATCCTGAGGGTACTTGACTGACTTTATCAGATACAAAAGTTACATTTCTTATTACATAGGTCTTGCTTTATCTTGGTCTTAACCATCCAGCAGAAAAGTATAAAAACAAGGTATATAAAGTAAAGCCATATTAATACGATGAGCTGTAAAAGGCTCAAGTCAATAGCTTCTGAGGACAACCCACTAATACTATAGACTGCTAGACAGTGTTGGATTGTTTAGCTGAATTCAAACACCTAGAGTATTTAGATGTCAATAGGATATCCACTGCTGACAGGACTAAACAAAAGGTGGGGGGGGGATACAAAGCAAAGATCATTTTGTACTTACATATACAAAATAGTTAGGATAGAGATACAGCTACTTTCGCTTAATTTAATGAGAAGAAAGAGATGTACTAACGGTGTTTGCACAGGATATCCTGTCTGTTTCTTGTATAATGGATAACCACTAAGAAGATAACAATGTACCATGTATTGATTATCAAAACTGTCCTATTAATCAGCTTTGAAACTGTCTCATTCATATTTGTTTCTCAATAAAATGAAGTCACCATATAAAAAAATAAAAATTAGCGAGCTCAGAAAAAAAATGACTGATGTTATTGTCTCTTGTAGACGAAACTGAAAAAAAAAAAAGCTGGGGAAGTGGAGTCAGTGCGCAACAAACTGGTGGGGATGATGATGAAAAATTTCTGCAAAGGGACAGTAGTGACGGCTGCACAATGCAAAGGTATTTAAGGCCCCCGAACTGTATACTGAGGTGTTTTGGTTTGGTTTGGTTGAGTCAGGTCATGCTATGTAGGCCATGCTGGCCTTGAACTGGTGATCCTCCTGTCTCAGTCTCCCAAGTATGGAGACTACAAGTGTGCACCCCCCTCCCCGCTCAGCTGTACATGTAGGTCTTTTGCTTCTGTGTAGTTTACAATAAAAGTCAACAATCTATGAATGAGTCAATCCAAAACACTTGCTATGTGGAGCACGGCAAGGGCGGGATTGTATGCTGGACTTATTCATCCGCAGACCCCGGACACAAAGGATGGCCTGGTGGCCGGTGGGTATCCCAGGATGCAGATGCAGGGCTGCAGGGGACTTTAGGATGAGAGTCTTGGGGACCCCACAATGCCCGAGGCATAGGGGCCCCCAAAATGACGCAGGAGACCCCGGTGGCAGGAGGCGCGGAAAGACCGCCGTAAGCAGTGGGCCGAGGGCCTTGTGACTGCCGGATCATGCGGATGGGGTGTAGAGGCGACTCGGGGCGGGCGGCGCTCCCTCTAAAAGCCTTGCCCCGGGCCTCCAGCGCGCTCGGGTCCAGCGCTGAAAGCCCGCCCCACGCCCGCGCAGATCCGGCCCGGCGAGCTCCCAGCGCCTGCACGCAGCCCGCCCCGCGCCCGCGCAGATCCCGCCCGGAGAGCTCCCAGCGCCTGCACGCAGCCCGCCCCGCGCACTCGCCCAGCGGAGGTGAGCTCAGCCTCGGCCCTGCACGCAGCCCGCCCCGCGCACTCGCCCAGCGGAGGTGAGCTCAGCCTCGGCGGCCCATCGTCCGATACCACCCATTGGCTGAGAGGTGGGGCGTGGGCCGGGACTGCCGGGGATTGGGCGGTTTGCGAGCAGCCGGGGCTGTGCAGGCCAATCGCGTGGCGGCGCGTGAGGCGGAGCGCCGGGCAGACGGTTCTCGCTGGACTCCCGGAGGTGCAGCTCGGGACTGTGGACGTCTTCCTCATGCCCTCCGACGAATCGTTCGTGGCCGTGACATGTACGGCGCCGGTCAATATCGCGGTCATCAAGTACTGTGAGTGCCACGGCCCGTGCCTGTATAGGGGAAACTGAGGCGCGCGGATGGAGCCGGGGCGGGTGAGGCGGAGACAGAGGGCTCCCGGTGGACCCGGAGTGCGTCCAGGCAGCCTGTCTCGCCAGGTTCCTCCGAAGCGGCGGCCAGATCGGAGCAGGGCGACCTGGTAGCCGCGAGGGAGTGGTGAAGCCGCTCCGTTCCCGAGCAGGGCTGCGTGGCTCTGTGTCCACGCCCCCTTCCGCAGCTGCGTGGTCAAGGTCGTCATCCCTGACAGCTGCCTCTTTGTGGTTCTGGTTTGCATTTCTCTGATGGGCAAAGATGTTGACCATCTTTCTTTGTGCGTTTGGTTTTGGTGGTACTGAAGATTGATCCCAGGGCCTTCCCACTGAGCTACACCTCCAGCCCGTTTTTATTTTTGAATCAGGGTCTTGTTAAATTTTTCAGTTGCTCAGACTGGACTCGGACTTGTGATCCTTCTGCCTCAGCCTCCCCAAGGCTGGGGTTGAGGCATGCGCCACCGCTCCTTGCGCATTTTGAAATAACTCCGCCATATACGTGCAGTCTTGCTTGGGTCCTGCAGCCCCGCGTTGGGTTAAGCCCCCGCAGCGCTTGGGGCTCATCCCTTTGGCGGCTGAAGTCTGCCAAAGCCGCTCCTGCGCCTTGGGGAAATCTGACTTCGTTGTGGGGCATGCTGATTGAAGTCTTCGGTTTGCAAAGCTTGCCCTCTGTCCCCTCCATTCTGAGTTAAAAGTCAAAAGTTGGGGGCGGGGAAGGTGCTGGGGAGATGGTAAGCACAAGGACCCAAGTGAGACTCCTGGTTACTCCAAAAAAAAAAAAAAAAAAAAAAAAATTCCCTGGGCTTTTAACTCAGCTCTTGCGTTTCTGGCTCTCACGGGTGTGTGGTGCTGGCCCTTCCGTTTCCAGCAGAGGCCTCCTCTGGAGCAGCTTTCAGGCTGCTTACTGAAGCACCCTCATCCCGGCTGCCTTAGGGTTCTTGCCAGGTGACCTTCACTTCTGCCATCTGCTGACCGTGTCCTCTTCAGGTTGACCCCCCCCCCCAGATTGTTTTGGTGAACCTAAAGGTGATTTCTGCTGTTCAGAGACCCTGGGTTTGTCGCAGCGGCTGGCAGGTGTGTGATACTTGGGTGGGGACAGTAGCCTGTTCTTCAGGGTGGAGTGTAACCTAGGCTTCCTGGGTTCTGGGTACAGCCTGGTCCCCCAGCTGGCAGGATGCAGTTTGGGTGCCCTGTGGTGAGCACAGGCCCTGCTCTGTGCCACCAGGTGGTGTGCTGGGCGTTTCTGTTTTGAGGTCTTCCCTGGCCAGAGGGCAGGTTGCTGTCGGTGCCCTTCGCCTCCCCTGTGAGGGTGAGGAGCAGCACCTGGGCCACGGTGTGTGGCAGGCGGCACAGGGAGCAGGCACCTGTGCTTGGGGAAGATGTTCGGAGGTGGTGCTGCAGGCCCTGGCGCCCCTGCACTTCAAGACTGTGGAAGGTGGCTTGCTTGTAGGAAGGGTGTGGGCACCCGTGGGGTGACTGCACAGTGAGCTTGCAGCCACTGCTGGGAACCTGGCTGCTTTTGTCTGGGGGACAAGCAGATGGAAAGACAACCAAGAGCCCACTTGGCGCACACTCAGGCCCAGCGGATGCTCAAAGGTGATTTGTAGAGTAAATGAAAAATTATTTGGAAGTAATAGTGAAGGTAGGCAGCCCCCCTGAGATCACTGAGGCAACCCAGGATGGCTTTCTGAAGACGGTGGGTAGCAGGCAGGGGCTCCGGCTGTGGAGAGAGACAGGTGAGGGGCCTGAGGAATCGGGTGCATGACAGCAGAGAGCATCAGTGGGGAGGGTGGCCTGGGACTCACTGACTTCTGTTGTCTTTTCCAGGGGGGAAGCGAGATGAGGAGCTGATCCTGCCCCTCAACTCCTCTCTGAGTGTCACTTTGCACCAGGATCAGGTGAGCACAGCTGGGCCCACCTCATTCCTGAAGGCTAGGAGGAGGGGGCCTTGCATGGGGTCCCCAGCCTGCACAGCCCCTGAGCCTCCTTCTGGTGTCTGAAGGGCCTGGCCACACGATGGGCCCTTGCTATGCAGGCACTCATCTACCAGCCCTGGTCCCTTTGCAAGCTCCCTGCCTCAGCCTCCTGCCTGACTCTGCCCTAACGGCTCTGCGTTTTGCTCCTAGTTAAGAACGACCACAACAGCTGCCATCAGCAGGGACTTCCTGGAGGATCGGATCTGGCTGAATGGCCAGGAGGAGGATGTGGAGCAGCCACGCCTCCAGGCCTGCTTGAGGGAAAGTGAGCAGGGTTGCAGGGGCTGGGGGCAGGGGCTGGGCCCTCCTGGGAAGAGTGGGTGTGAGAAGTGGGGAGGGGCTGTGTTCTCCCCCAGATGCTGGGCAGGCGAGGTGCAGGGAGGAGCCACTCTCTGTCGGCCTCCCTGTGCAGTACGTCGCCTGGCCCGGAAGTGTGGCAGCACAGGGGATGAGGACCAGCACTTGCTGACCCCTGGCCCCAGCGACAGGGTGCATGTGGCCTCCGTGAACAACTTCCCCACAGCTGCTGGTCTGGCTTCCTCGGCAGCAGGCTTTGCCTGCCTTGGTGGGTACCCTGGGCCACCCCTCTCCTGTTTGCCTGGAGCCCCCTTCCTGAGTGGCACCCAGCCCAGCCTGTGATCCTGTTCTTCCTGCCCACAGCCTACACCTTGGCCCGAATCTATGGGGTTGAAGGCGACCTCTCAGAAGTGGCTCGGCGGGGCTCGGGCAGTGCATGTCGCAGCCTGTATGGTGGCTTTGTAGAATGGCAGATGGGGCAGCGGGCAGATGGCAGAGACAGTGTTGCCTGGCAGGTGGCCTCTGAGTCTCACTGGCCCCAGCTCCGAGTTCTCATCCTGGTGGTGAGTAGGACAGGCTGAGCGCAGGAGTGACAGCGGCTGGTCTGTGCCAGGGGGTTAGGGTTGGCCCTGCGTGGCATGTGCAGGGCCCAACACTGCTTCCTGGCAGGTGAGTGCTGAGCGGAAGCCAACAGGCAGCACGGTGGGCATGCAGACCAGTGTGCAGACCAGCGACCTGCTCAAGGTGAGAAGCAGTGCGTGTCACCCCAGCCATGGTGGCTGAGCTGAGCTGAGCCTCTAACCGCCCTGGACACCCACCTGCCTTGCAGTTCCGGGCTGAGGCACTGGTGCCGGCTCGCATGGCGGAGATGGCACGTTGCATCCAGGAGCGAGACTTCCCCGGCTTTGCCAAGCTCACCATGCAGGACAGCAACCAGTTCCATGCCACCTGTCTAGACACCTTCCCGCCCATCTCCTACCTCAATGACACATCCCAGCGCATCATGCAGCTGGTACACCGCTTCAATGCCCACCATGGGCAGACAAAGGTGCTAGCCCAGGGTGCGCATGGCTGTGGCTCCGTGTGCCCAGCAGGGGTGGTCTGTGGCAGGTGTTTGTTGCTGGCCAGCGCACTGGTGGTAGGGCCGCTTGGGTCACTGCTTACCACTTTTCCTGAGTTCAGGCAGACACAGTGTATAGCCTTGGAGGTGGACAGTGTGAGGACCAAGCATGACCATGTGGTTCCAGGTGGCGTACACATTTGACGCAGGCCCCAACGCTGTGATCTTCACCCTGGAGGACACCATGGCTGAGTTCGTGGCTGTTGTGAGGCATGTCTTTCCCCCAGAGGCGAACGGAGACAAGTGAGTGTGGGTCCCTCTCCCTCCCAGGTGACAGGGTCCAGGATGAGCGTCCTGCCATGTGCTCCTGGGGACCACTGCTCAGCCCACATGGTCCACAGGAGACATGTACCTGTGATAGTGCCTGGGTCCCTCGCCTAGGAAATGGCACCCTTCTGCCAGGTGTGGTAGCACATGCCTGTCAACAGGAGCTGAGGCAAGAGCATAATAAGTTTAAGCCCAGCTTGCTCCATGTGCACAGGGAGACTCAATTTGGGGAGATAGCTCAGCAGCAGAAGCACCTGCCTGGCAAGCACAAGGTCCTGAGTTCAATCCCCAGTACTGCAAAAAAAAAAAAAAAAAACGAAAGAAAGAAAAGAAAAAAGGAACTGTCCCTGAGCCCAGGGACCCTTGTGCTCTTGCCCTGCTAACAGTGGCTTTAGTTTATTTTAGGAAGCGCACCATGGAGCAGGTTAAATACCTTGACATTTAAAAACAAATTCTCTACATTCCAAAAACAAATACTTTGAGCAAAGCCCTGGGTCCCTCTTGAAGGAGTGCAGGGCAAGGTGTGTCAGGGGCCACGGAAGGGTCTTAGTTCCACTGTATTCCTTTCTCCCCAAGTGCACCAGTGGCCCTGACCCACAGAGGGACACACAGTGCTCCTTATGGTCCCCAGGTTTCTGAAGGGGTTGCCGGTGACACCTGTCCCTGTCTCGGATGACCTGAAAGCCACCCTGGCCATGGAGCCTGTCCCCAGAGGTGTCCAGTACATTATTGCCACCCAGGTGAGCTCTGAGCAGAGGCTACTCCTGCTGAAGGGCGTGAGCCCATGGGGCAACATGGGCTGCAGGTTGGGTGGGACTGGCCAAGATGGGTGATTGGGTCACCAGTGATCCGAGGCTGATTTCTGTCCCCAGGTGGGGCCAGGACCTCAAGTCCTGGATGACCCAGATGTTCACCTTCTAGGCCAGGATGGCCTGCCGAAGCCCAGACCGGCTGCCTGACCCCCACCTTGGGACTCCATTTGCCCACACGGGATGCTTCCTGGGACCAGGGACTGGTGTGATGGACAGGCCACACCTGTAGGGATGCACAGGGCTGTGGGCTGTGGCCCTGGCCATCCGGGGCAGGTCCGCTTGAGTGCCTCATTTTCCCGTGGTGCCTTGCTAAGGTGGGCATTGGGCTGAGCCCCTGCGGGGGCCTCCCACCCCTGAGCCAGCACTCAGGCCAAGGTGGGAATGGGAAGTTTTTAAAAAGACCAGTGAGCTGGTGGCACACACCTGTCATCCCAGCACTGGGGGGCTGAGGCAGGAGGATCAAAAGTTAAAGCTCAGCTTAGACCCTGTTTTACTGAAAAAAAAAATAAAATAAAATAAAAAAATGCAGGGGATGTAGAGCCCAGGATACAACCCCTATTACTGCCAGAAAACAAACACGTAAAACCAAAAGACTAGCGACCCCTCCCTAGGAGAAGACAGCTGCTGGGTGGGCTGGTTAGGTGGGGTCCTCACGCAGAATAAAGGGTGTTGGTGAGCGCAGCTTCCGCCTCTGCTTCCTGTGTGCCCGGCCGGCCGCGAGCCGCCACGCCGCCCAGGGCGCCCCTTCCCTGCGCCCCCTCACCCCGCCAGGCCCTGCGGAGCCCCGCCTGCGGCCCGCCCCACTGAGGCCTCCGCTGCGAGCCGCTTCCGGGTCCGCTGGGTGGGGACCCGCGGAGGGGCGGGGCCGGGTGGCTGCGGGGCGCGGGGCGCGGAGCGGGCGCGGAGCACGGCGGTCGGCACCATGGGGCAGATCGAGTGGGCCATGTGGGCCAACGAGCAGGCACTGGCGTCTGGTCTGAGTGAGTGTGCGGGCGGCTGGGGCCCCGCGGGGCTCAGGCGGTGACAGGTCACGCGGTTGGGGGCTTGGGGGGCTGGGCGAGTGGGCCAGGGGCACAGCCCTGCCTGGGTCGTCGGGTCCTGCGGCGGGCTGTGCGCCAGGCCTGCAACTGGAGCCCGGAAAGCGGGCGCCCCTCAACCGGACCGGACCGCGGGAGGAGGAAGTGCGGTGCGAAGAGGCATCTCACCCGCTGTTTCCGGGGAGTCCCCCACACTACCCGCCTGAGAAACCCAGCCTAAAACCCTCCGGCAGCTCTCAGCCCGAGTCGGGGCTCCACTCGGGTCCTGGGGGTGCTTCTTCCCAGAGCCAGTGCACTTCCCTGTTCTTGGGTTGGGGAGCAGCTTCTTCATCTGGGGCCCTAGCTGCAGGAAGAGGAGCCTAGGACTTCACAGGTGCTGGTGAGCATCAGGGTGTCCAGACCCTGTGCAGGCAGTTCAGTGGGGACTGGTGACCCATGTCCTGCCCAGCACTCCTGGAAGGGCTGGGGAGGCAGAAGGGAGCCCAGCGGATGGGAGGAGCCCAGTGGAGACTTCAAAACCTCTCTGCCTCCTGGGAGTCTGTTGGGAGGACCCCTGTCACCCCAGGCAAGTGAGTGGCCAGGGCACAAATGGAGTCAGCCCAGCCTGGCCCTGCACCCTGGAAGTGTGGCGAAGCCCTCGGGTATGCAACTCGAAGTCCAAGTGGGACCCAGTGTCCCACTCTTATTCTTCTGCATCTGGGTGGCAGGGACTCAGGGCCAGTTGAGACAGTTCCCTCTTGTCCCCCGGCCACAGGACTGTCACCTGCCTGCTGGTGGGCTGTGCCCTGCTGTCCAACCCCACTTCCTTCAAAATCCCCTGCAGGAAGTGGAGGGTGGTGGCACACCCAGCCCAGAGCCTGAACACAGTGCAGGCTAGGCCCCTCTCGTGTGTTCCTTGCATTGGCTCTAGGTCTGCTCCAGGCTGGCTCTGGGCCCTGTCCAGGTTAGAGTCTTAGGTGGAGACCTGGAGGGGGCCTGCACTGTGGCCGGGTTCCCATCCAGTGGGATGGCTCACTGGAAGGGCTCCCAGGCTGTGGTGCCAAATGGATCCTTTTGCGACTGCCTCTGTGGCATCTCAGTTGAGGTCTAGCCTAGCCTGGGCAGGTTCTCCTAGACCTGTGCTGTCATCCTGTGTCACCTCCCTGCTCAGACATTCCGGGGGTTCCAGAGCAGAGCAGAAGCCAGATTCTGGGTGCAGGGCCCTGGTGCTGCCTGGGCTACTGGTCATTTCTGTTCCTGGCTGAGTGCTGGGCCTTGGCCTTTTCTCCTCAGAGCACCTGAGGCTGCCCCTTCCATTCTTCCTTGGCACAGGGTCATTCACATTCTTCTAGAGCATCCACCCAGCCTGTCCCCTGTGCTCAGCATTGAAGACTGCCCCCCCCAGCCCTCTTGCTGCTGTGGACCACATGCTTGTGTCTGGGTGGGGGCGGTGACAGCCCTAAAACAGCAGATGGCACACTCAGGAGGTGCCCACCCACCCTGTCCAGCAGAAAATTCCTTTACAGCCAAACCTGGAGGCCGGCGAGGGGAGGAGAGCAGAAGGGAGCAGGGCCACAGTCTGGGACTGCAGGGGTGCTCTGCTCCTGTGGAAGGGTTTGGGTCCCTGTGTTACAGAGGAGCTGCAGGCTTGATGGAGTCTGCCAGGAAATGGTTCCCAGTTGCACAGCAGCAAGGAGACTGGCCTCTGCCGCAGGGCTGGCTGTACTTATAGGCCTGAACTTAGGACAGGCCTGCCCGGAGGCTGGTGGGAAACCAGCCTGCGGAGGACTCCTCACAGGAAGTGCATGCCTGCCGGGCAGGAGGAAGTGAGCTGGGGTCAGAGGCCAGCAGAGGGCGAGGTCCCCAGGGTCCTCCCCCTCTGAGGTGTGGCTGCTGGTCCCCAGAGAGAAATCACTAATGGGTATCGGCCGAAGAAGACCGCAGTGAGGATGACGAAGCCAGTCAGAACCAGGGCGGCATGGAAAGCTACAGGAGTGTGTCTGCTGAGAGGGAAACTGAATGTTCAGCTTGGAGAGAGAGCAAAGTCCTTTTCAGGACTGATGAAAAGGATTCCCTCCTGAGTAAATGGTAATGAAATTAAGCCAGTAAGAAAAAGAGAAAAATAGGTGAGACCACAGACTTGTCAACAGCCAAGATAAATACCAGAAGACCCTGATTTGTAGCCCAGGTGCTGGGGGAGAACTGCCAGGCTTGGGTTTGGGGCCGACAGACCTTCACCATGAAGACGGCCCTGGCATGCACCTCAGCAGGAGGGAACTGGACTCTGGAGGAGGGACTGGGATGCAATGATGGAGTCCCGTGAAGCCAGTATTGACTGTGATGATAACGAGTAATTTGAGGAGAATGAAGGTCAACTTTCTAAGCTGCATCCATTCCTGACTCAGGAAGAGGGACTTTGAAGCAAGTAACCTTAAAGATTACTGGAATTGGTGTTAAAATGTAGTAAGAGAGAGCGGCTGCTTTGACATTCCGTACCACTCAGTGTGAAAAATAGGAACTATCCACCCCTGGCTTGGAGAATTGTTTTGGCAAGAATTCGAGTCCAAGTGAGCCTGGGTGCTGGCTCCCAGATAGAAGGGCGGCAGGCGAGAGCACCAGCTCCAGCCCAAGTGCTGGGTGTCCTGAGGAGCTGCACCCAGCACCACAGAAAATCCAAGGGCAGAGAATGACGGTGATGTGACAGCCCCACGGGAGGAAACCTAAGATTACCCTGGTGAAGGAAGAGTGTGGGAGAGACTCACTGGGGCACTGGGCAGACACAGCAGGGCAGGAGACGAGGACGGTGGTGTGGGGGGACCAGGAGGCAGGAAAGCCAACGTGCGGTGGGGCGGGGCGGGTCTTCAGCTGCTCCTTGTCCTGAACTTCCAGCTGAGGATTTCATAATGTGGGGAAGACGCGTTAAAATATAACCACAGACAGCTACCACAGCTGTTCCGGGAAAGGGAGCGGAGTGAAGCTCACGAAGTTGTCAGAAAGCAGAAGCAGCAACAGAACACCAGTTTGAGAAAGAATCCAAGCGAGGTATGGTGTTGCACACCTGTGATTCGAGCCCCCCAGAGGCCGAGGCCGGAGGATCCTCTGAGTTCAAGGCCGGCCTGAACTAAGCAAGGCCCTCTCTCAAAAAACGCAAAAAAGAGAATAGAATGAGTCCAAGTTATCTGCACAGTCATTAAAATACCTTAAAATCAATATTACCTTGGCTAAACAAAATTTAACCGTATCACTTTATTCCTAATAGTCACAAACTAGAAGTAGCAAAAGGTTCCTGAGAGAAGAGCAGATTGGGCCTGAACCAGAAGACCGCAGATTTCCCAGTAACAGCTACCTTCAAAGAGAAGGAGCTGCTGCCCGCATAGCCCCGACCTGCGCCCCGTGCTGAGGACAGAAGGGGTGGGGTGCAGGATCCTGGCTGGTGAGATGCCAGCCGGCTGCACCTGCACGCGTCTCTGCTTAGCAATCCTGAATTCGAACCAGGAGCGCGGGGCAGTGGCAGGGGCCGTGCCACAGGGGAAGTTTTGCAATCCCTTCTGCTGGGGACGGAAGCTCACCTCCCTCTCACTAGCCAAGCACCCCTACTGCCCACACCCTGCTGGTGGGAATGCCCTTGACACCCCTGCATCTGCGGAACCCTGGTTCCATCCCTGGCACCATGGTGGAAAACAGAAGTGGACAGCAACACTGTTAAATGTTATGTTTATTTTGCCACGAAAAATGATTTTCAATAAAAAATATAGAGGAGGGTGGTGGCTGGGCCTGGTGTGGTGGCTTATACCTGTAATCTGAGCACTTGGGAGGCTGAGATAGGAGAATCCTTGAAAGTTTGAGGCCAGCCTGGGATACAAAGTGAGCTCAAGGCCAGATTGAGCTACATAGTGAGACTTTTCTGAAAAAGACATAAATAAGTAAATAAATGTGGGAGATGGATGCTGCTTCCAAGAGGCAGATGACAAATCCCAACACCCCCAAATGGCGCAGAGGCACAGCAGGAGACGGAGCTTGAACTTAAGGTGGAGCTGGAGTGGGGTGGAGGAAGGCCCAGCCCGCCAGGCAAATGCCAAAACCCACAGCCACTGACAGGCCGCAGGTGGCCACCAAATGTCTGCTCAGTAAGGACGAATAGGCGGGCTCCAGTTGGGTCCCAGTGCTGAGAGCAACAGGTCCCATGTGGGTCCAGGCTGGTGCCCCTCTGCAACTCCTGGGAGCCCATGTGGCAGTCTTCCTCACCACTGGCCCCCTCGGTTCCTGGTGACCACCTCCCTAGCTCCCTTCATCTCAGAATGGCTGTGTGAGGCCTGGTGACCCCAGTGGAGGGGAGGGCCAGGCCAGTGGGGACAAGGAGGGCTGCGCCCTAACCCAGCTCTCCTGCCTGCAGTCCTCATTGCTGGGGGCATCGTGGCCACTGCCGGACGCTTTGCCCAGTGGTACTTCGGCGCCTACTCCATGTATCCTTCTCTGGAGACCTGGGCTGGGGCGGGACCACAGAGAGCCCCTCTCTAGTGGCAGGCTTGGAGCTGGGTGCTGGGGCGGGAGGGCAGTGTCTGCCAGGTGCGTGTCCCTGTTCCTGTCCTCTCTGGCTGTCTGGCCCTTAACGAGCTTGCAGTGTAGCAGGGGCGCTTGTGTGCCTGCTGGAGTACCCCCGGGGCAGGAGGAGCAAGGGCTCCACCATGGAGCGGTGGTGAGTGGCCACGGGAGCCGGGGGGGGGGGGGGTGCAGGCTGCCGGCTGCTGGAGCCTGGCCAACCTCAGCCTCCACCTCCCTCACAGCGGGCAGAAGTACCTGGCAGCTGTGGTGAAACTGTTCGGACCTCTCACCAGGAACTACTATGTCCGCGCTGTGCTACACCTGCTGTGAGCTGGGAGGGGTGGGGAGGATGGGAGGGACAGGGAACCTCCCCATGCTTGCCCAGCCCCCCACCCCTTCGTCCAGGCAGCAGCAAGGGCAGAAGTCCCAACTTTGTGCAATGTGAGCTGGGCCCGCCAGCGGCTCTCACCTGGACCTCCCAAGTTCGCTGTGGCCCCTGTATGCACTGGTGGTGGGGGGGTCCCTTGGGCACTGTGGGAGCCCCCCGAGCTGCTTGCTGGCTTCTTGCTGATGTGGCAGCCTGAGCCTGGGAGCCAAAGTGCCAGCCCAGGCAGATGCCAACGTGAGAGGACCCTGAGGCAGAGCCTGCTGGTTCTCTCTCTGGAATCCTGGGGACACGCTTGGTCTATGCTCCCCTGTTCTGGTCTGTGGGCCTGTGTCTCACGTCTGTCCCCGCCACCCTCCAGGCTGTCAGTGCCTGCAGGCTTTCTGCTGGCAACCATCCTGGGAACAGTGTGCCTGGTCATCGCGAGTGGCATCTACCTGCTGGTGAGTGGCATCCTTGCGGTCCCTGTGCGTCCTTGGCCCTGTCCTCAGGATTGACGCTGAAAGTGCGTGCTGAGGCACAGGTCTGTGCCCACTCTTGCCAGATGAGCGGTGGTGGTCACAGCTACAGCTTGGTGTACAGCTGGCTGACCAGGCTCTCCCCTCCCTTCATGAGGAGACTCCTCCACGACCGTGTGGGTGGGCTGGCGAGAGAGGCAAGGTTCAGAGAGGTGATGTGGCCACCTGGGGCCACCTGGGCGCTGAGGGCCCAGCCAGTGTTCAGGTCCATTTCCAGAAACTTTCTCATTGAAAGCTCTCTGCGGCTGAGTCAGGAGAAGCTGGCCAGCACCCAGGGTGCAGTGGCTTTCTGCAGTACTGGAGACAGCCTGCTGGGCTTGCCAAGTTCCCTCTCTGGCCCTAATTTTGTTTTGTTTTGGTACTGGGGATCAAACTTGACCTCACCCTTGCCTGGCAGGCGCTT